TTTTTTTTAGATCAATTATCAATTGCTAAATCACAAATGATATGATTTATTGCGTTTCCTCTTTCACCTTCGAAAACATTCTATAACACTTGAATGGATACTAAATATCTATGTGCATGCTTCATAATGTCTAAATAATATACCACTGTTTCAATGTAGAACAAAAACGTTCCTCTTTCAATATCACTTATGACGTACATTAACAACATGCCATAACATTTGAAATATATACTTTTTGGTAACATTCTTATTCGCAATAATACATCTTCACTATGCTATCTATCTTAATATTTGGATGAATTCCAATGAATATTTTATTGAAAAATATTCTTCATAAGGAAACATATCGCAATAAAAATAATGAGAAAATAGAAAGAACATCTAGTTCCATATTTATCTTATTGATTTAGTCTTTTGTTGTGACTAATTGATAATATCGACCACCAAGAGCAAGTAATTCATCATGACTTCCACTTTCTACAATTTCACCATTATGAAAAACACAAATCATATCTGCATTTTGAATTGTTGATAAACGATGTGCAATTGTTATTGATGTTCGATTTTGTTGAGCATGATCTAATGCATCTTGAACAATCTTTTCATTTTCACTATCTAATGCACTTGTTGCTAAATAATTACAAACAAATTATATAATTATTACAAATATCATAACTTCTTCTCTATTCTTTTTTTTTTACCTTCATCAAGTAATAAAATCTTTGGATTTCGAAGTAATGCTCGAGCAATGGCTAAAAACAACAAAAGACATATTTTTAGTTCGATAAAACATCATCAAAATAATTCTACCAATTCTTTGTTTTTGTCCTCCTGATAATTGAGTTCCTTTTGTACCACAATTTGTTTCATATCTCTTCATATTTCAAAAAAGAAACACAACATGTTCTTTATTAGAATAGAAATAAAAAAGAAATTATTTATGTCTTACATATGGAAGAAGTTGAATGAAATCATGAATATTTGCATTTTTTGCTGCTTGAATAATTTCATCTAATGGAATATCTTTTCGACTATTATCACCATATGCTATATTTTCACGAATAGACATATCAAAAAGAACTGGTTCTTGAGAAACAATACCAACTAATGAATAAGATAATAAAATAAACAAACAAATAGAAAGATAAATGAAAATGATAACAGTATAGAAAAAAGGTACATATATGTACTTACTTTGTGATCGATACCACTGAAGATTAAGTGTTCGAATATCTTTTGAATCAATCAACTAGAAAGATGACACAAATGGGAAAGTGACAAAGAAAAGAAACAAAAACTACTTACAAGACGACCGATATTTACATCATAAAAACGTTCAATTAACTGAATAGTTGTTGATTTTCCACAGCCAGATGTACCTTAACAGATCAACATAATAAAATCAACTTTTTTATTGTAATGAGAATGATTGACAACTATACATACCAACAAGTGCTACTTTTTGACCTAAAGAGACACATACGAAAACAAAAGTGAATGTTTACAAAGATGAAAACAAGTTAACAATATATATATATATATATGTACATACCAGGTTTGATATTAAGTTTGAAATTTCTGAGAATGACTGATTGAGGTCTATTTGGATAATTGAAATAAACATCCTCAAAGTCAAGTTGTCCAGTAAAATCAGTCTAAATGACAATAAAATAGTTAATGCATGTCGAAGACATTTCTATTTTTGACATACAATTTCAAGACCATCCTTTGATTCATTATCAATTGTTGGTTTTCGCTTCAATAACTTGAAGATGTTTTCAGCAGCTTCAATTGCTTTTCCATAGTCTGGAAATCTAGATAACAAATCATTTTTTCAACTGGTCGAATTCAGTTGAGAACTTACAGTGCTAACTCTTCGCTAATAGTGTGAGCAGCCAAGAGAACAGCATTAAGAACCCTGAAACATTATTTATCCAACGACTATTTGTGAATGAGTTCTCTATTTTCTAGTACTTACATAAACATATTTTCGAAAGAAACTGTACCTTTGTCAAACAAAAAGGTAGCATAAGAAACAAAAGCTGCTATCGCAAAATAGATAGCAGCATTTGCTAAGGAGAATAAAATGCCTAAAATATGAGCACGCTTGATTGATGATCTAAAAGAAAAATAGATATGTTGATTGATAAATAAATAGAAAAAACTAGTCATACCGATGAATAGTATCAATGATTTGAGAATATTGATCATAAAAATGAGTTTCTTTTGTTAATTGAAATACTGTTCGGATATTTTGAATAGTTTCTATGACAATCTTCAATAGAATAATTCAGAAGACTCAAAAAAATGAACTAGTTAAAGAGCGAATGA